TTATCATATGGCAGTGAAAAGGACTTTTCTTTTGGTCAAAAAGTCACCAGCATTTCAGAACAATTCAAAATAGGATTTATTTGAAAGTTCCTTCTGAAGCAGAAGAGCTACAGTAAGATAAGGGAATACAAGCTTGGATTTCCTTTGACTTAAGGAAGTCAACAGAACACCGAACACTACTTCTAATATTCATCCCTGTGAAGACTTATTTTCAATTAAGTTAACAGGTTAATTCAGCAGACAGTTCACATACAATGGGCATTTGAATTGTATAATAATAAAAATTTAAACAGTATTCCCAAAATACTTCACTGTGTATACACACATCCCCATAACATTATATACTACCATGCAGAAAAATACAGATTAAAAATGACAATGTAGATCCCATTTTTTACACCATTATAGTGTAGTGAAGATTTCTACTAGCATTATAGTCAAATAACAATTATTCAGCTAGGTCTGTTAGGGATCAGACTTCCTCATGCCTCTGACCACCACAGCCAGGCCATCAGAAGCCTGTAGTATGGACATGGCCAAACTATCAGTAGTGGTTAGTTAGCAAACAGTACTACAGTTCAGCTCTCAATGTCCAAACTTTAGTTATCCAAAATAGCATCATGTCCCCACCACAATATCTGTCATAACAAAGATTTTCTTGATAATCCAAAATTATTTCAGGTCCCCTGCAACATTTAGGTAATTGAGGTTATAGTACGCTAGTGACAGTTACAAAAAAGCACAATCAGGATGAAAAAAAGATCAACCTTTAACATGTATTACGAAATGAGGTAACTGCAGAGATAATAATGAAATGACCTTTGAAATGTCTCCTAATCATATGAAATGTATCATGTAAGTGTCTTAGCAGTGTAGTACACTGGTCTTCATTTGGCAGAATCAGAATCCTTGATGCTTACTTGTAAACATTTCAAAAAGTCAGTTTCCAGGAATTTTCAGAAGGTCAGATTTGAAGAAACAAATTATTAAGGGGGAAATGAAGGGGGGCTGTTATGTTTGGCAGCATGGCTATCTTCTATAAACAGTGGGGACAAATTTTAAATTAGATATTCTATTTTTAACTTTGGCTGTTTTAAATGATTTATCCCCAACATGAAAAAACTCCTCCATTAGGCTACCCAAACTGTTGGTATTCTTGCAATAGCCTGGGAGAAATACTCCACACGTGGGTGGGTATGAGCCCACCTACACTATTCCTACAGTTTTAGAAGCTTTAACATAGATCAGGAATCGGCAACCTTTGGCACATGGGCCACCAGGGTAAGCACCTTAGTGGGCCGGGACAGTTTGTTTACCAGCCGCATCCGCAGATTCAGCCAATCACAGCTCCCACTGGCCGCGGTTCACCGTCCCAGGCCAATGAGGGCTGTGGGAAGAGGCATGGGCCGAGGGATGTGCTGGCTGCCACTTCCTGCCGCCCCCATTGGCCTGGAACAGCGAACCATGGCCAGTGGGATCCACGATTGGCTGAACCTGCGGACGCGATAGGTAAACGAACCGGCCCAGTCCGCTAGGGTGCTTACCCTGGCAAGCCGAGTGCCAAAGGTTGACGATCCCTGACATAGATTAAAATATGAGAAATGGTACAAAATTCAAGTAGCAATGATACATTTGAGATCTAGATTTCATGCTAGGGAGCTACTACACATAACTAGTAAACAATGTGAGGGGAATTCTAAGGGCTGACCTACAGGAAAATGCTACTTAACAATAATGATATAGCAGTATACAGTCAGCTCCTGTTTTTTATTCCAGCTAAATTTGGACTGGGATAGGTGGAGGAGGATTGAACCCTGGGAAGAAATCTCATCCACTGAAAGTTTATCATCTCAGCAGAACCTTCTAACACAGGGACACACAGATGAAGAGGATATGGATGATAGGATGAGTGGAGTTGTTTTGCAATGAGACAGAAAATGATTTCCAGTCACTTCTAAGACAGCTCATCATGAATCTAAGTCTATCATTTTAATTTATCAGGATTTTGTTAAAATAAGTTCAAAGAAAGACATGTAATTTTGTTCCAATATTTGACCTTCAGAGTTTTCCACTGGCTATCAATCACCTCAACATTACACGTTATTCCCTTAATGCACACATTTCAATAAGAGAATATATCTTAAATGATTTAATAAACAAAATTCTTAGGACTTTCAGCTTAAATTCTTGGTGTCAGTTGAGAGAGGAGGGTTTTTGAAAATGACACCTTATTACTTTAATAGAAGGATAGACAACAACAAGGAAGAGTATTACACACAGACACATAGTCAAAGAAAAACCCTCTGCCAACATCTGCTACTGCAAAGTCACAACCAGTGATATTTAATCAAATCAGATTTGCAGATTTAAAAAAAAAGATAGTTTACTAGCAAGACACTAGCATAAATTAAGGTAATTAAGATATATATTTTTAAAGGGACACTATCAACTCAAAATATGTATTTTAAAAAAATCGTTTAAAATAGTTGTGTTTGTACTTAACCCTTAGTTCCTACCAATTTGAGATGTCTCTCTCTTGCCTGCTGCAATAAGAGAGAAAACTGAATCTAAGGGAAATCATGAAACAAACTCCTGTCAAATGCACAAAGTAAAATGAAAAAAAAAAATTTACTCTTTCAGTTACAGTAATGTTAGGGATTACTTGCAAAAATAGTAGATACAGAATTTGAAATTGGTGTCCTTTCAGTAAAATATTTTTACAACACTCTGAAGATGAAAAGCACTATTTATATGGTAATACTAACAGTTCATTGTTTTGCTACTCAAACCTTGACAAGCATTACTTTAAATACCATGACAACCTATCAATTTTAAAGATTCTGCTGGGTTGTGATACTATTTACTGTGTGGTATTAGCTACGATACCATGGCAGTTGACACATTCTATCTAGTTCAGTTGTTCTCAACAAGGGTTACACATACCCCAGAGGTACGCAGAGGTCTTCCAGGTGGTATAGCAACTCATCTAGATATTTGCCTAGATTTACAACAGGCTACATAAAAAGCACTAGGGAAGTCAGAATAAACTAAAATTTCATACAATGACTTGTTTATACTGCGCTATATATTACAAACAGAAAGGGGTACAGTAGTCTGGAAAGGTTGGGAGAAAGATGTTGGCAGAGCATTTCAGGGCACCCTGCAAGAATTATCTTTTCACCCAGGCTGGGTTTAGGAGGGTGTAAGTAGGTTAAGAAGGAAAAGTTAGGTATCACCAGTACGAGTTGGTTAGATGGGAAGAAGACTTTTCCATGATACAGAACCACCTTGCAAATTTCAAAATTGGTTATTTTGGAGAAAGTTTATTGTACATGTACCTAAAGAGTAAAATAGGAAGAAAGTTACTGCACCTATTTCCATAAAATATAAGTAATCATAAAGTGCAATTTTCCAGAAATACTCCACATTCCAGTCAAATACCTGGTTTATTTCCACTACACATTCCAGTAAAGACCCGGAGGGATTCAACATTCCCCCACCTCTATAGCAACACAGTAGAGTATGTTTTGCTAAATCCATATGTATACTGCATGAAAAATAAAATCTTTTACTCGAGTGATTGCTATGTTTGACAGCAGTTATATAATGTGCAATACCATTACCTCCGTTTTTAGTACTATTCCATTGTATTTGAGTGCCTCACAATCTTTTAATGTATTTATCCTCAATATCCCAATAATGTAGGAAAATTATGTTACCCCATTTTAAAGATGAAGAAGTGAAACACAGAGACACAAAAGTCACACATGGAGTCTGTGATGGAGCAGGAGATTGAACTCAAGTCCCAAACTAGCACCCTAATCACCAGACCATCCTTGAACTTTCTACCATTTGTAGGGTTAGATCCATCAGTGATTGCAACAGGTGTCAACCACAAGCACCTAGAATACTGGATAAAAGTTGCAGGCATTATAATATGGCAAAATATGAATAGTCTCCTCTACAACTGTTACAGGAAGTGGGACTCAAAAATCTATTTTTGTTACTCTGAAATTTTTATTTTTTCATTCGTCTTTATAGATTCAATTTACATTATATATTTTGAACAAAGAAAAACACTGGATATACTGTTTATAGAAAATACTTGATTCAGATACTGACCAGAACTTTTTACTTTTTAAACTGTATTTGCTTTTAGAGGGTTCGTGTAAGGTAGAGAGTTCAAGGTTGAAAATATTGATTTGAACCTCCCAATGTAGGTCATGCTGGACTGGCAGATATGGAATCAGCTGGAATGGGTCATGCAATTTAACAAATACCCCTTGTTGAACTACCACATTAAGCTATTGTTACTTAGGTTGACAAAACACCATGCCCACTACACCGGCATTAAACAGGCACTGGTAGGTTTAAAAATCCTTACCTGTGTTACTAGCATCACCTTACGCTATTAACATTTATGTTCTTTAATTCTTGCATTTCTAGTTTAAACTATGAAAATAAACTTGAAGGTTCTAGTCAGTCACAAGTTTATTCATCAACATGATGTTATATTTAATCACTAATGAGGACTGTTTAAATCCTAACAAAACCTATTTGCACTTTTTTTTTGTTTCCTGAACACATTTCTCTTAATACTAGTTTTGTAAAACTTTCTTCTAGCCAATCAATATACATTTAAGCCTGAACTAACCAAATGGCCTTTTGAACTTAAAAAAGAAAAAAAATAGTGAAAGAGTAAACTATTGCTTGACTAAACACCCTACAAAGATTGAGCAACATAAAAGTCTGGTTAGAATGTCACTGGCAGTAAGAACCAGAAATATATTGCACACGGTGAATCAAGGGAGGTGATTTCTTTCAGTAAAGCCTAGACAGGAATTAATAAGAGTATCCCCAACACGGCCTCTGCACTGACCCACAACAAAGCCAGCTGGAGATTAATATCTCTTACCAACTGTACATTGGTCCTATGACAAATTCATTTCAAGTGGCCTATCCTACAAACAGTTTCGATTCTTGAACTCTTGCTATAAGCATGTTTGGCACTGTATAGTTCAATGACAAGTATGCTTCCTACTCCCTCCACCCCCTTTCTCCAAACTACCCTCTTTTCAAGAGCCATCGACTGGAGCTATACAAAGAAACCCAAACCAAGTCAGATCCCTCATTTTAGACCCGACTCCAGCCCCAGCATTGAGCTTGCGCTATCTCCCGTTCAGAACTAGATGATGGACATGGGTAACGTCGAGTCATGGTGCCCAGGCTAGAGAGAGAGAGAACTGTGGCTAAAGCAGGGCACCCCGCTTCCTTTGGACCGCCCTCCACCGACACCCCTTGTTGGGGGGGCGATCGCCCCGTCCTTTGGAAGCGTAGCCCTGGGCTTGGCGGAGAATGCAGCGGGCTGAGCAGAAGCGGCACAGGCAGGGCAGATGCGTGAGAGGAGCCCCCCGCCGAGAGCAGGGCTTGGGCGGTTCAACCCCGCACACACCCCCGGGGGGGGGGGGGTTCGCCCCCGTCTCTGGGGCAGGATCCAGGCGAGGAGAGGGAGCCCCAGCGCGGGGGGGGGGGCGGTCCGGACGGCAGTGATGCCCCAGCGGACTCAGCCCCATGGGGGATTGTGGGGGGGGGGGGGAGAAAGCTCTCGGCCCGGGCCTTGCAGAGGGGGGGGGTCTCGGCGGGGGTCGGTCTCTGGGGAGGAGCGGGGTGCGGCCCGGGGGCCGGGCTCCGAGGGGGGAGGACCCCGGGCAGTGGGGGCTCGGAGGCGGGCGGGGTCATTACCTCTGTGCGCGGAGGGCAGCGAGGAGCTGAACAGCCGCGCGGCAGCAGCGCAGGTGTTACAGGCGGCCATGGTCCCGCCCGGCCTCAGCGCCCCGCACCCGCCCCGCTCGCTAGGCCGCAGACCCGCCGGCCCCCCTCCCTTGCACGGCTGCCGAGTAAACACCGCCCCTCCCCCTTCCTCCAACTACCGTCACCACGCTCGGCGCTTGTGTGTCGTCACGGCCAGCACGCTGCTCTCTCGCGAGCGCCAGCTTCAGCGAAACAGACCGTGCTGGCCCGCATTGCATCTTGGGATACGTAGGCCGGCGCGCGAGGAGTGACGAGGCGCGCGGCAGGCGGCGACCCACAGCGCCCCGCTGGAGCGTTGCATGCCGGGAGCCGTAGTTCAGGGGTACTTTGCATGCTGGGAGTTGTAGTGCGCGTGGGGAACAGGCAGGTGGAGAGCTGCTGGGGTGGGGAGGCGCCACCTGTTGGCAGACACCTTGTGATGTTTTGGGTCAACCTGCTGATGTAGGGAGTCGAGTGATGTTGATGAGTGATGATGCCGGAGCCCTCACCTGCCCTCCAAACCCCTCAGTCACAGCCCAGAGCACCCTTCTGCTCCCTCAGCCCCACCCCAGAGCCTGCACCCCCAGCTGGAGCCTTCCGCCCATGCCCCAATTTCCTGCCCCAGCCCTGATCCCCCTCCCGCCCTCAAAACCCCTTGGTCCCAGCCCGGAGCACCCTTCTACACCTCAAACCTCTCATCCCCTCCCGAGAGCCTGCACCTGCAGCTGGAACCCTCACTCCCCCCATAGCCCACCCCTCCTGCCCCAGCCCAGAGCACCCTCCCAGACCCTGAACTCCTCACTTCTGGCCCCACCCTGGAGCCCGCACCTCCAGCCAGAGCCCTCACCCCTTCCCACACCCCAACCCCAATTTTGTGAATATTCATGGCCCGTCATACAATTACTATACCCAGATAAGTCTTTAGGAATGAACAGTTGACCAATAACTGTGTTCATGTTATAAAGAAAACAGTATGACGTTTGCTTTAATTGGGATGATCATAACGGTTAGCTGTGTTCAATATTTTAAAAAGTAGAGACAATAAGTGGGCAATGGGTTGAGGGAGGGGGTGATCCACAGGTCCAAGAGATTGGAGAAAATAGAGAGGGGAGGTGCACTTATGGGTTCTGTGTAAATCTTCCTCGTGTATCTTAAACCATCAGATGGTAATCTACCCCGAAGGGTAAGAGTTGAAGTCCCATAAGTAGATAGTGTATCTCTTTTGGATTGTACCCCTCAAGTGTTCACGGGGAGAGTACAGGGGTTCCGGGTTCAGCAAAGCATAATCTTTGGGAACTGATTTATATGTTATTTTGGTATTTTATTTTTGGATTTAAACTAAGGGGAATGCAGGAGAGGGGAGTGAACTGGGAAGGTGGTGGGGAATTAATCCAAGAAATAGCTATGTTTGTTTACAAGCAGAAATCAAGCCATATTCAGGCACAAATGTGTGAATACAACGTAATTAGAAATAAGAAAAATGTTGGCCACATCATGCCATCAAACAGCCAAAGGACCCAATCATTTCAAGTTTTTCAATAAGCTAAATAACATAAGAACATAAGAATGGCCATGCTGGCTCAGACCAAAGGTCCATCTAGCTCAGTATCCTGGCTTGCAACAGTGCCCAATACCAGGTGCTTCAAGGGGAATGAACAGAACAGGTAATCATCCAGTGACCCATCCCGTGTTGCCTATTCCCAGTTTCTGGCAAACAGAGGTTGGGGACACTTCAGAGCATGGTTTTTCATCCCTGCCCATCTTGGCCATTGATGGACCCATCCATGAACTTATCTAGTGCTTTTTTGAACCCTGTGTTAGCCTTCACAACATCCTCTGGCAAAGTATTCCACAGGTTGACTGCGCGTTGTGTGAAGAAATACTTCCTTTTGTTTGTTTTGCCTATTAATTTCATTTGAACACCTCTAGTTCTTGTTTTATGAGAAGGAGCAAATAACTCTTCTTTATTTACTTTCTCCACACCCTTCATGATTTTATAGACATCTATCATATCCTCCCATAATTGTCTCTTTTCCAAGCTGAAAAGTCCCAGTTTTATTAGCTCTCCTGATATGGAAGTTGTTCTGTACCCCTAATTATTTTTGTTGCCCTTTTCTGTACCTTTTCCAATTCCAATACATCTTTTTTGAGATGGGGCGACCACATCTTCACGCAGTATTCAAAATGTGGGCGTACCATGGATTTATATAGAGGCAATACAATATTTTCTGTTTTATTATCTATTCCTTTCTTAATGATTCCCAACATTGCTGTTTGCTTTTTTGACACCGCTGCATGGTGAGCGGATGTTTTCAGAGAACTATCCACAGTGACCCCAAGATCTCTTTCTTGAGTGGTAACAGCTAATTTAGACCCCATCATTTTATATATATAGTTAGGATTATGTTTTCCAATGTGTATGACTTTGCACTGATCAACATTGAATTTCATCTGTCATTTTGTTCCCCAGTCACCCACTTTTGTGAGATCCCTTTGTAACTCTTTGCAGTCTGCTTTGGTCTTAACTATCTTGAGTAATTTTGTATCATCTGCAAATTTTGCACCTCACTGTTTACCCCGTTTCGCAGTGTTGTCAGCTTGCGCAACTGTATTTGTGAATCTTATATATGAAAAATAAAACTATGTCCTGAAGGAATGACCTGAACAGAGTTTGGTCCTGGGACTAGTCCTTCCTGGGCGGGGGGAGACAGGCCAGCAGCTTACAATTATTCAGTACATGCCACTAAATGGGAACTAAGCCTTAACAGGCACTATTTGAGACAAAATTTCAGGGGCTGGCTCCTTGGGACTCAGTTAGAAAGCCACTGAACAGAGGAAGTTCCTGAGCAGAGTCTCCTCAGGGAAGCTGGTTAGGAAACTATTCCAATGGTGTCTCCCTGGTGAGCAGAGGCTCACGGAGAGAGGAAAAGGCCCAGACAAAATGTGCTTGCAGACAAGAGACCCAAGTAGCCTGGGAGAACAAATTGGGAGTGGGAACTCCTGGGGAGCTACTGAGGACTGGCTCAGCAAAGAGTGAGGCACTGTCAGGAGAAGACTAGTATTTGGCCGAACGCCCAGAAGAGGCCCAAGCTCCAGGCAGGGAATTCAGCCTGAGATTGCTCTGGGGCTAAAGGAGCAAAATATAAGACTGATTAACCCACAGGTAGAAAATTTCCAGAGAAGTAGCTGACAGAAGCTTTTTTATGTTTTCATGTTGTCTTTTTCTGTTACATAAATGAGACCCTTCGAAGAAGATGCTCTTTAATATTACAAAGGCCTGTTTGGACTTGTTTATACCCCGGCTGAGGGGAAACTGAGGCAGGGGTCACCTGCAGTGTTGTGTCTGATCGTATGGGGAACACCAGACTAATCTCCACAGCATTATAAAAACCTACAGCTATAATTCTGGAAATAAATACTATGTATACACAGCAATCCTTGCAACAATGGCTGGAGAGAATAATTGGGTCAATTCTCCCCCCCAATCAATATACATTTCTGGTGCCATCTCAGAAACAGCATTCACTTCCCGCAAAACACTAGTAGCTCAAAAAAATTCCAACAATAAATCCAAATTGAATGATGGCTCAAGTCACTAAATCAACACTGAGAACACAGTGACAAATCCTTGCACAGAACTGTCACACCACCAGCCTGCAGCACCACAGTGAAATGTGCAAAGCTAAAGCAGACTCTATCAAACGCAGAACCGTAATTGTGACAGTGCAAATTGGAGACACGAAATAGTGTGAAAACCCAGGAAGAATTGACCAGTACAATATAATATGACCCAAGAGAAATTGAAATGGGGAAGTGTTTATATTTTACTTCAATATCTAAAATACACAGGAATTTGAGAAAGATAGTTCCTCAGATTGTCAGAATTGATAAAAGATTTTACGTTAAAAAAAAGAGGCCAAACTGTGTACAACTCTGGGGAAAGAGATGTAAATCATAGCATCATGCCCTGGACAACCTGCAATTGGATCAGGAATGGACAGAAATGACAAAAAGACATGGACCAAACCCCCAAATACATGATATAATCTTACCTTGGGTAGAATGTACCTACCTCTGACAGATGCTGGGGGGTTCTGTTTCCTTCTTGCATGTGGGCAACACTTGCAGAGCTTGTGATACTGGTCACATATGGATGAACTGTAACGAGTTGGTCCTGACTTTCCTCTCAAGTAATGGGGCAGAAGAAGAAACTTACTACCTGATCCCTTTGTGTGTTAAATTAGGCACCTGCAAACCATCAGACCCATCCCTGATAGCGGAGTTATATAGAGCAGTGTTCTCAACGAGGGATCCAGTGCCTCCTGGGGGGCCACGAGCAGGTTTCAGGGGTCCACCAAGTAGGACCAGTGTTAGACTCACTGGCAGGAGTGCCACCAGCTTTTCTGCCTCCCTAGGCAGCGGAAGGTCCCGCCCTGAAATGCCGCCCCGCACAGAGGCGGCGGAAGGTCCCGCCGCCGAAATACCGCCGCGGTTGCCGCCCCCCAAATTGTAGCGCCCTAGGCGACCGCCTAGGTCGCCTAATGGGTTGCGCCGGCCCTGCTCACTGGGGTCCAGGGCATAAAGCCAAAGCCTTGCTGAAGCCTGGGGCTCCAAGCCCTACCACCTCGGGCTGAAGCCGAACCCTGAGCAAGTGGCACGGGGCCCCAGGCATTTGCCCTGCTTGCTACCCCCTAATGCTGGCCCTGGCTTTTATATGCACAAAAAATAGTTGTTGTGGCATTGGTGGGCTGTGGAGTTTTTAAAGCAGGGAGCAGCTCAGAAAGAAAAAGGTTGAGAACCGCTGCTATAAAGGGACACTGCAGTATGTAACATGAACACTGAATGCTTTTTTGTAGTTTCTGATAAAATTTTGGATGGATTTCGAGCCTTATGAAATACAGGTTTAACAGCACTATCTACAGCCAGACATAGGGCAGGTAAGTCCCATGCACTGTTTGCTTCTAATGCTGTATCTGCAGAGCTCCTTGTGAAAGGCCTGGAACGGAAGCAGCAGGGGAAGTGCCTTCAACAACTGAAGAGCACCACTAGAAATGGAATGACTTGCACTCATAAACCATGGAGGTCTAGGGGAAAGGTACTGTTGGCTTTAAGTACGTGTGCTATTATACATGAAGGTTGGTTGCCAAATGTATACCAAAGCTCGTTCAGACATTTTAAGATAATTAGCAAAACCTGGACTTCTGTGGCATTAATATCTCTATTTGTAATTAACTTGAACTGAACTTTGAATAAAACTCACCAGAGTGGTCCAGATTTATGAAATAAGATTAGGATCATAGCTTCCTCAGCCCAAAGCTTCATCTTCAGAAATCTTTTGTCACTAGAAAATCTAGTGTAGTGTTCAGATGATAGTTTGCATGAAATATACTATCTAAAATAAGATCCAATCCTGCAAACATGTATGCACACATTTAACTGTACGCACTCGTAGTTCTGTTAAAATCAATGACACTATTCACATGTGAAGTCAGCATGTGCATAAGTGCATGATCAGGGATATAAATTGCAACACATTGTATTGAGCAATAATGATATTCTCTCCTTCCTCTAGGCGGCAGCAGCAGTCCACAGTTATTCCTTCTCCACAAGCATAATGGGCCGCAGGAATCAGAATAAAGCAAACATTGGTTTGGAAAACCTTTACTGGTAATTTGCTTTTCTAGTTCACAAATTAACATCCAAATGTTGCCCATTGTTGCATGGCAGAGTTCAATGGAAGATATGCATAAATCAGAAAAGGGGCACAAACCTACTTTTCCCCCTTGGTCCCTTAGGTCACCTTTAATTACGTCCCTCCAAAATTTGGGTTCTCTCTTTCTCATCAGGACTTTCTGTCGTTGCAGCATTGGGTCAGAGAAAAGTTGCTTTTTTTTTTTTGGCTGTTAAAATACATTTCAACCGCCTTCAGTTCGTTTTCTAACACATAGCAATACTTCCGGTCAGAGCCATCTGGTGGTTTTATGCCACAACAGCTGCAAATACACTTGCTCTATGAAATTCAACAAAGGATTTCCCCCCCAGGTTTTCCTGGTAGAGAATACAAATTCACTGCCCACTTTCAGAGTATTAATGCACCTGGTGTCCAAAGGAAATATTTTGCCCCGCCCAATAATGCATCATTTGAATTATGGGTTACCACATGTTCCTTACTTGAAGGGATGGTCCCTTATTCCATTGATTTGACACTTGGAGTGATCACCTGTGTACTAAAATGTATTAAAATTGGTAAGTACTATTTTCAACATTTAATTGAAGCTTACGATAATTGCACTGTATATTCGAGGGCAGTAGAAATGTACACTTGAGAGAAAAATACATATGCTAAGGGAAATGATGTTTCCCTAAAACATCTCTTAAAATAAAGTGTTGTCCCTTATTTTTCATGTGGTTTTCCTGATTTCCATCCAACAAAGGTGATCACCCTAACGCTCATTGACCATGCAGTAGATTTGAACTCACTGATAGAAATAAAAGTGCTGGAGCTCCTCTCTCCATTTCCGCATATGAGTACACACATATCTGCAAGGTTATCTGTTCCACTGGCTTTCACTAGAGTTTAAAAAAAAATCATTATAATGGAACTGCTATCCAGAGACACTGGAATGGGGCTGGGTTCAAACTAGAGCCCTAGTACCAACTCTCATATTTTATCAGGAGTCTTGCAGTGATTTTCATGGTTACTTAAAGTCCCAGCTCTTGGAGTCATGTTTATTATGTAGGAATCTCAACTTCCATTAAACAAATTTCTAGCCCTTGTAGATGTGGAGAAAAACTTGAAAACTTGTCCTAAATGCACCCTAAATGACTCCAAAACCAGAAAGGCAAAGATACCCCCCTCCCCCAATGTTCTCTTTTTATAAAACCTGGTGTTTTCTAAGCCAATCTCATAATTTGCAGGGAGGTCCTGATTTGTGATTTTTGAACTCTTGGGGTTGGCCGTACTGGTCCAGAGTAACCATGGAGTACACTCCCCAGTGTCACTGGAGCCGCAGCCCAGAACTCAGGCCCAGGTAGTACTTTGGGGTGAGAGAGGCCCACGTGGGAAGCAGGGGAGTCACTACTTATCATAGAATATCAGGGTTGGAAGGGACCTCAGGAGGTCATCTAGTCCAACCCCCTGCTCAAAGCAGGACCAATCCCCACTTCTTTGAGTGCCTGGGTGGAGGCGTCGCCCTCACTATCAGGGTTGCCTGCCAAGCGCCAGGTTACCCGCCGTACCACTCATATGACCCCCTTGCTTATTATAGGTCACATGATCCCTGCCCCGCGGTAGTTGCCAAGAGCTCAGGTCACGTGGCGCCACTGTTCCGCCTCGGTAGCGATGGACGCCGTCAGCTGTGAACGCTCACCTGTGTGATCACGTGGTCAGCGTGTACGCTCCCTCCTCCCCCACCGGACGCAGGCGCAGCACCCGGAAACGGGCTCTTCGTCCGCTTCTCACTGGCAGGACGCGGGAGCGAGGCTCGGCGACAGACACCCCCTCCCCCTCCCTCCCCCAGCCCGCTTCAGCGCCGCGCGGGAGGAGCCGGTAAGGAGCGGGAGGGGTTCGTCCGCGCGGGGACCCCCTCTGCACAGAGCCCCCACCCGTCCCGCAGAGCTCCCCCCGTTCTCTTTGGGGCAGAGAGCGGAGAAGCCAAGGTACTGGGATGTGCCACAGGGCTCTGACCCCCCCTCGTGCTGGGGAAGGGGAGGAGGGGGCTCTTGGCCCCCCTGTACTGGGGGAGGGGAGTGAAGGGAGGGGGCTCTTAGCCGCCCTGTGCTGGGGGAGTAGGGGGGGCTCTTGGCCCCCCTGTGCTGGGGGAGGGGAGGGAAGTAGAGGGGGCTCTTGGCCCCCCTGTGCTGGGGGAGGGAAGTAGGGGGGGCTCTTGGCCCCCCCGTGCTGGGGGGAGAGGCAGGAATGCGGAGAGGGATGGGACCTGTAATCTCATGTCCCAAAAGGTGCTGTTTTAACTCCCTGTGGTGGCACTTTTCATTTATTAGTAAGTTAAAGCGCCTGTAGCTGTTGTAACTAAACTGCCTTTATGAGCACAGTTTGTTTCAGACACACAATTTTACTGATTCGGATTTTGTGTCCATGGGAGCAGGAATAACCTGGCCGATGCAGCAAGAAACATCAGGAGAGCAAACGTTTTGATGGGTGGGCTGAGTAACGGTTCTTACTGGTCTGTTTCTTGCAGATCAAATGCAGCTTGGGGGTATAGACATCCAAACAATTGTTAACAGATTATATGTAGCTTTCCCTCTCCTGTGACAGGCTCAAAAGCAGTTCAGACCATCAGTGACTGAAAGTTACTAGAGCCGTGTTGTGAATGAGTCACAAAAAACTTACCAGACACATTTAATCTCTATTCCTGCTTATGGGATATACATCAACAGGCAACATTTTCCTACATGTATTAGTGTATTTGAATTAAAAAAACAAAAACTAAACTTGCTTGATCATTAACCAGTCTGAGAGTTGTTGATATTCACTACATATGAGTTGTATTGGATAGTTGATTTCCCAGCTACGTTTCATGGCATTGTTTCGGTTCTGTGACTTCAAAGAGCATGCAAGCAAGCATTAGTGTCACAAATATTTACGGGTGTGAACTTAGTATTCTGTTTCTGTGCATACTTGCATATATGTTGCTTTGAATGTTCACAGAAAGTAAATTTCATACCATTGAAATTCATTTGCACAAACACTCTTGAGACACAAACACAAGGGGTACAGGCATGGTCAGAACAAACTTTAAAAACAGCAAATTTAAGGGGAAATGTTTTGCGGTGGTGGTTGTTTCTAGTTATCATTTGATGGATGGCTTGCTTGCATGAGTGTGAGGATCTCAGTCTAGTTACTAGTAGATAGCTGTCCACTGCACAAAACCTTCTACAAATGGCATTGATTGGGATCTTTATTAGCAGTCTCAGGAGTGATCCCAAGGTTTGAATGGGCATGGAGATTGATATGCTTTATCAGTCCAATGAGGGGGCCCCTTCAGGTCATTGTTGAGGTACATTCTCACGACAGTGAGAGTGAGGAAAAGTTTGAACAGATGCTGCCTGTACCCAGGATATGGATTGAGGACCCCTGTGTCCAAAGTTGTAACTGGCACCTATCACCATCACCTAATAATGGTACTAAAACAATAGGCAAAAGAAGAGGAAAGATGAGAACTGATTATAGCTAGAATTGATTTCTAATCCTTTTGTAGAGAACAAAATTATTCTTTAACATACCATTCCTTTTAGCAGACTACACAAATGCTTCCTGTTTAGCACTTCCTTACATGTGTTCATACAAGACCTTGCTCAGTGGGACGCTGATTCTGACTTGGGCTTCTGACTGCTACTATAATATAAATAATATAGTATAAAAGGATCAAGTTCACTGTACTTTTTTGTTTGCTGTTACTATTTTTGCTGTACTTCATTGCACCATCGCATCCCATATCTGTTTTGTATGTGAACAGGGTAAGCCATACTTTTGGCAGGTGCAGGGGATTAATAGAATGAACTACTCTTATTTTTCTAATGCACAGCTGTCCTTCCCATTCCAGTAATGTTTCACTTTGCAGTCTGTTGGGTGGAAGAGGCATTTGGCCTCCGTTATACCTTTTTGGTGCATCCAGTGTAGCACAAGTGGTAAAATATATGTCGTAAACAGTAATTTAGCCAAAATTGAAATGAGACCCAACCCAGTTGGATGGGAAATCTCTGAATCTGGAAACATTTGTTGTAGAAAAAAAAATCTTTCATTTTCATTATACAGTACTGAAAACTGTAGGTAAGAGGCGCACATTTTTCTTTCATGTTGGGTGGGGTGGAGGGGAAATACGCCCTTCCTTCAGAGTTCACATTTCATTAAACAGCAGAAGAATGGGCATCTGAGTTCTAGAGACATGAAAGTGAATTGTAACTAATTCTTTAGTCCAGTTGCAAAATGAATTAGTTTTTAATGGATTTTATACACTGTCTAGACTAGCCCTCAGGGAAACTGACCAGAATTGGCAATTGCCTTTATTCTACTAAGAAAAATGAACAAGTGGCCATTAATTATAATTGGGTAATGATAATTAATAAAAGGAAACTTATTATGCATTCCTTATCCACTATATTCTTGTGAGCACATGAAAAGAATCACAGTAGCAGGATTTCCCTTGCAAACTAAAGTTAACAAACAGTCAGCATACAGCTGTGAACTTAAAACATTATCTGGCATCATTTGCTGTACAAATGGAAGTTCTTAATCTACTAGTGCTATAAATGTTCCAATGAAATGTAGATCCCATGTCAGTTATGTAAGTTTCATTACTACAAATAAGTAGGATCCCATATAGACTATATAACATTCAGAATGTGCAGGCAATCTTATTAAGATTTACCTACATGGAGAAACTGACTGGAATAGCTATTCCAGAATAGCTCCATGTAGATACTCTGTTCTGGAATAAAAGTGATTTTATTTTATTTTATTCCAGAATAATATTCCCATATTAGAAGCACACTAATTATTCCAGAATAAAGTGATTTTTATTCTGGAATACTATCCACACAGGAAGCTATTTTGCAATAGTTATTCTGGTCAATTTCCCTGTGTGGACAGGCCCTGAAGTTTTGACTGTTCTTTACAATAGGTATCACGTAATCTGAAGAGAAGATTTTTACACGTTTTAAGATGCTTTTAAGTTAATTATACTTAAATGAGAGGTGCCGTCTGAATACTTGACTAAATGGACTGTAGACCCATGAAACATAAGTACTTATACAGTCCATTGTCTGAACTGTGAGCCAAGTACCAGCGAATTCAAATAGAGGCCACAGTTAATAAACTGTCTTAAAAGGAATGTTAAAATATAACTTACTGTTTAAAAATATCTTAAACCCTGCAATACTGTCTTCCTTTCAGGAGCTGCTACAGTGGAATGCTTTGTTATGAAAAGTTCTTATTGCACAAGACACCATCGATTCCTAATTAGAGGGTTAGTAATATTCAATCAAGAGACTGCATTTTCTGAATATCCCAAAGTGGTTATAATTAAAACTAAGGATACGTAAACACGGCACAAGTTAGAAGACTGACGAGGGAGGACGGTCAACTGAGAAGAGGTAAAAACAAACTTATCCTGAAAGAATCCTTTGTATACACAATGAGGCTTTTATGCACTGGATTAGTGTAAAACCTACATTCTTAATCTGAAACATCACATGTCTGTGTTTCAGGTTTACACAACCTCAGTTTCATCTAAACATCATGGGAGAGATTAAAGTCTCTCCTGACTATAACTGGTTCAGAAGTACAGTTCCTCTTAAGAAGGTATGTATGTTTTTATCATCTGTTTATGAAGTGGTATTTTATTTCTGAAGGGTCATGGTGTGCAGGGGTGGAATTTGCCTAAGCAATGGGTCTTTGTAGGTAATGGAAAATAGTCACTGGAGGTGGCAGATCTAGGTATCAACGTGGCCCCCATCACCGTGGTATTTGAGTACTCAGCAAGTACTTTTATATTCACGTAACTTTCATTGGAGGTGGTCTGTTACCTCTAGTGGGATTCATGGTGCCACCTGAGTTTTGGGAGCCTTCTGGAAAATGGTGCCTGTTGGGTGCCACAAGTGCCCTCTCGTGGCAACAAACGTTTGAAGCTGAGATTAGAAAAAGGTGGTGGAGCTGAGAGGGCTGCCGTGTACCATCCTTGCTGGGGCTGCCGCTGGCTTTGCCCACTGTGCCCACCAATTCACATGCTTACACAGCAATGCTGTCTTGACTCATGAAAAGACTTTTGCTGTCAGCTTCACAAATTCATCCTGGGTTCTGACCGTCAAGCTATGGGTTCTTTCCATCTCACACATTATTACAAGTAATAATGGTGCTGCAGGCCAAACTACCTCTTTGCAGTCCCATTGCCTCCAGATTATGCCCAAAATGGGTATGCACAGATGTAATTGCACTTAATTTGTAGCCCGAGAGATAGCATAGGAGTACTGATGTCATAATTTAGCTTGCATATTGTCATACTGGGGATTTAACGAGATGGAAAGAACGCCCGTGAGACTGTGCCACTTCCTACAGGAACTGCATTGCATGTAAGCTCTTGAGCAAGTTTAATTCTCCATTTGCTGATGATTTATGCATATTTTCATTTAATCAATCAATTTCAGGGTAATCAATGAAGGTTTTATCTGAGCCTCAAAGTACGGGCATAACTTTCTTTACTGATTGCTTACTTCAAAATAAAAAACGACAGAGTCAAAGATACCACAGTGACGAATGTGGGAAGTGGGTGAGACCTAAACAAGCCAGTCTTGGTCTCTGAAAGGGGAAAAGCTCAATTTTAATTATAGTTCATTGTGGGGGTTGTTTCTAGGAATAAGACACTTCCCTCTTCGGCTGTGATTGTTAGCAATATGGTCAGCATGGAGGAGGCAAGGTTCCCTGATGCAGAAGGAGGGAAAACGGGGCTTGCCATCCCACTTCTTCCCTCCTTGTTGCTGCTTTGTGCTGCCACCAAATCAACGTAGTGAGCTCCCACAGTTTGTTCTTTGTGGGGTAGCGGGGGTGAGAGGCTTGGAGATACTAGGCTGCTTTTCTTGCACCCGCCATGTGTTATCACTGCCACTTCTCCCCCTTCCTGCTGAGGTCATAGATAGATGGAAGCCTGTTCCTTCTAGAGGGATGCTGAAAATTAAATCAGTTTTTAAAGATTCTTTCATTCTGCCTCTGATCCTAGTTTGAGTGATGCTATCTGTTTATAGCCATACTCCTTAGTACTTGTGATCAGTAAAGACCAAAGAGTGCAATGGAATAAGTACTTAGTGTGGCGTCCTGGCTAAATTCCACTGCAGATAACTATTCTGCTTACATAAAATTCACCCTGCAGTTGCAACTGGAGAAATGGCTCTTCACTTCCTTTCCTGAAAACTACTAGTACTTCTGGTGCAGAATGGCGTCTGCCTTCCACCCCACTGGTGATTGCATTTCCAAAATGTGATAAGTCATTCCCATAGTTAATCTGCAGTGTTACAAAGAAAAGTGCTTTATAGATGCACGTTATGACTTGCAGATGTGTGTGGTGGGGAAGAAGGTTGGTTTTGTGGGTAGAGGACAGGGCTTGGAGCCAGGAGCCCTTGTGCTATGTTTGTCATTCAGGAAGCCCTTGCAAAACTTTGTGCAAGTCATTTAAACTGCATACAGCCCAGTTTCCTGAGTGTAAAATGGGGTGGGAGTGGGGAGAATGCGGAGGATAAACTAACTCAACTTCATAAAGTGCTTTGAGAGCCTCAGGTAGGAAGTGCTGTATGAGTGGAATGTTCCGTCTCTTTAAAATGTCACACCGGCTATCTGTAAAACAGTATGTCTTACTATCTAAAATATTATCCTGCTCTGAGACAGTCATGGGGTGAAATTCTGGCTCTATTGACGCCAATGGGAGTTTTGCCATTTATTTCACTGGAGCCAGATTTCACCCAAAATGTAAATTCAATAATCAATCAAGTGTGGTGTAACAGAACAGAAGGTGGTCGATAACCTGTCTGAATCAGCTGTTAATCAGTGTGACTCAGCTGTGCAACATTTATTGCCGATCCAAACACATCACACTAAATCTACATATTATGTGGCTCTTTCTCAAATGGAACAAGTGTTTGCCATACTCTGGGTGCCGTTAATTGTCTGGCTTTGGGGAAAGTAATTAATTTAATCTCTCTGGACCTCAGTTCCCCATCGCATGTATTGAGTCTTAATCATTTCTTTAACACTTGTTAATATCCTCAAGTGAAGTACTCAGTGTAAGGCATGTTTCATTTTCAAAATCATGAAGATATGCGCTTGTTACACAGACACACAGGGCCACAATGAGCAGATTCAATTAATAATCTTACATAGCAGAGGAGAACTTTCTTTCACGTAATGTAAAAGTAGAAATGCGAGTTCCTTAGCAGTTCCAGGGCTCTGAGAAGTCCTGGCACTAAATCCGTTCTAATTTCTTGGAAACTTTACAAAAACTACTGATAATATGATAATCACATGCTCCCTGAACCTCAAGGACAGACTTCCTTGTAAATCAAAGATTTGTTGTCAGCCAGGCAGATCTTAGGATTTGGCATTTCCAGAGTATCCATAGAGGGGTTGTACTGCTCTGACAATGAGAAAAAGCTTTTGGGTGCTAACAGTTCAATAAGTTGTAAATTTAAAATGGATCACAGATGCATAAACAGAGAGGTCCTGCATCTGTTGTACTGCATGGGCTTTATTTGGGGGTTTTATGGTCACTTGAGTTTATTTGGCCTGTAGTCCTGTACTACTGGTGAGTTTTGTACCTTTAAAAAAAATCCTAAATATATACAACAATATGCCTGAAAAGCAAACCCTGAAACTGTGAGATTGAGACTTCTCAAACTCTTATTCTTTAAAGATGCCATTTGTGCAAGATTTTCATTCTTGGGTCTTGAATTCCGAGTATAAGACAGGGAGAACACAAAGGTCTGAAGGGCAGCAGTAGTGGCTGGGGTCTAAGCTAGCCACTTCCTCAGCTGGTCATGTGCCGCTCTGCTTCTCCAACGTCTCTCCCTTGAACATTCTAGTGAACTCCTCTTTGACAGTAAATCAGCTCTCTGTCCCATTCCAGCTTGTACTACTTTGGGTATCCTCTGAACGGTGTCCCTATCTTACAGTCAAACCTCCATTGTTTCAGATTAGTGGTCCCAATTTTCTGGGTCTGTTTAAGACAGTAGTGTTAAATAGTCACCAGACCTGCAAGTTCTTGGCCCACCCCCAACTACCTCCATATATCAAGGCCTAGGAAAACTGAGTCAGTTGTAGGGTGCTGTCCTTCCAACCCAGAACTTTGACGATGTTTCTCAGTTGGAGGAGGATGTTCTTGGTGGTGTAGATTCAGACCTTTAGCAGCCAGGGGGCTAGTCAAACCATAGAAGGAATTTTCCTCCTGGCCAAGCATGTGCCACTACTTATGGTATAGTACAGGGATTGGCAACCTTTGGCACGCAGCCCATCAGGAAAAGACCCCGGTGGGCCAGGACGGTTTGTTTACCTGCCGCGTCCGCAGGTTCGGCCGATCGCAGCTCTCGCTGTCTGTGGTTCACTGTCCCAGGCCAATGGGGGCAGCGGGAGCGACGGCCAGCACACCCCTAGGTGCGCGCCGCTTCCCGCAGCCCCCATTGGCCAGGAGCGGCAAACTGTAGCCAGTGGGAGCTGTGATCAGCCGAACCTGCGGACGCGGCAGGTAAACAAACCGTCCCGACCCGCCAGCGGCTTTCCCTGACAGGCAGCGTGCCAAAGGTTGCAGATTTCCTGGTATAGTATCTTCTAAGAGTCGGTCCCGTTTGTAAACAGACTATTGGGATGCTCCCATGATAAATTCCTACACCAATTTTCATATCTAAAATTACTCTATCCGATACAAGGGACCAGAGTGCCTGATTCAGGAAGATGCTAAGCTCAAACCGAACATTAGTTCAGCTGGGGTTATGTAACTTGTATATTGGTAAGGAAAAGATCCCTACATAAAACAATCTCTGCAAGCTGACATAATTCACTTCTTACTTTTGGCACTTGCACTGGACTTCAGTTGTTCAGAACATCACAAACGTCCATAAGACAGTGACTGTTCTATTAACTAAAACCATACTGCTTAGAGAGAGAGTCTGATCAGCTTCTTTTCTATTTCACAACCTCAGTTCTGCCTCCAGATGTGTGTAGGCGGACAGCGTAAACATCACATTTATTAAACAGGCAATGGGTGAAAAGTTATTCAGAAGGGTAGCAAAGGGTGAACTTGTTTGAAAGAAAAATCTTGTAATGTTTTTCACAAACTGTGCTACTCGAAACTGAATGGGAGATATCTGGTATCAGGCTAACACAAAGTTTCACTAAATTCTCTTCTTCCAGATCATAGTAGACGATGATGACAGTAAAGTGTGGTCATTATATGATGCAGGATCCAAGAACATCAGGTGCCCACTCATATTTCTTCCACCTGTAAGTGGAACTGCAGATGTGTTTTTCCAGCAGATTTTGGCACTGACTGGATGGGGTTACAGAGTTATTGCTGTGAGTATTCTCAATGCAACATCAAAATTCAGTGTTTGTTTGCTCTTATGTTACAGTAAAAAAAACAGAGTTTTAGGTGCATCTGGTAAAGGTCAGCTTCTAAGTTTGTTTAGCTCGTAATTTTTGGAGGAATCAAAGCAGAGAACTCCAGGGAAGGCTATACTAAGGTATATTCTGGGGTATGTAACATGCAAAACTGGGCCTAAACCAAACCTGTGTTCACTATGTGAGTATGTGAAACATACAAAAATGTATATTAGATTTGTACCTAGTGGATTCGTTCTGTGATGTTTTTTTCTTTACTCCATGAACACCAGGAGTTGGAGTTTGCTGATGTCTCATTCATAGGGTTTTACCAAATTCACAGTCCATTTTGGTCATAGGACTTTAAAAATCGTTAATTTCATGATTTCAGCTATCTAAATCTGAAACTTCAAGTTGTTGTAATTGTAGGGGCCCTGAGCCAAAAAGGAGTTGAGGGGGGGTGGCAAGGTTATTTTAGGGGGGTTGCGGTACAGCTGCCCTTACTTTTGTGCTGCTGCTGATAGCAATGCTGCCTTCAGAGCTGGGCAGCTGGAGAGTGGCGGCTGCTGGCCGGGAGCCCAGTTCTGAAGGTAGAGCCGGCAGCAGCAGTGCAGAAGTAAGGATCGCATGGTATGGTATTGCCACCCTTCTGTGCTTCTGTTGGTGGGATGCTGCCTTCAGAGCTGGGTGCTCAGCCAATAGCCACCCAGCTCTGAAGGCAGTGCAGAAGTAAGGGTGGCAATACTGCAATCCCCCTAAAATAACCTTACAACTCCCCATAACCCTCTTTTGGGTCAGGACCCCCAATTTGAGAAACGCTGGTCTCCTCCGTGAAATCTGTATTGTATAAGGTAAAAGCGCAAACAAAAGACCAGATTTCACCGGGGGTAGGGTGGGGGGGTGGGGAGGGAGAGCATATTTCACAGTCTGTGATGCGTTTTTCATGGCCGTGAATTTGGTAGAGCCCTACTCGTTCATTTCTCTTGGGGTTTTGTACAAGAGGAATTCTAAGTTTGCAGTTGACACTCTTTCCAGTGCAACAACTTCCCATGGCCTTGATTTGTCTTCAGTTGGATCTCTGTTAGCTCCTCTCTGATTCAGCTTGATATTGGTCAGGAATATAACCATGGTAGTTGGCTTCTCTGAAAGGCCAACGTGATGTGATGTAACTTTGGTCAAGGTACAGCCAGACTACCCCACTTATCCACATCATTTTAAGAAGCATTACCTGGTGTCTAAAAATTTAACTGAATGGGTAATTTAACCTAAAGGCTCCAGTATGACTGAGCTGTCCCCATGTAGTTATGGGTCACTGCCCAACTTCAGGCCTTTACTGCCTTTGTTTTTCCTTGGCCACTTCTGGCCCTGTTCCCCTTTCTATGTCTGCTTCCATCAGAGTTTGCTCCTTTCACCTTCCATCCTTCCAGTGGAGCAAAGCTGATAGTGTTTTATAAATTCTACCCATTTAAAAAAAAAGTCTTCCTATTGGATCAGACATTGATCAATCTGGTTTCCCTCCAGCAGTGACCAGTATCTGTTGTTTCAGAAGGAAACCTTTCAGCTCTGCTTCCTGTTCCTAAGCCAGTTGATCAGTGGATGAGGGGTTGCCATCCTTTTATCTTCGGAAGTTGAGTTTACTGAAAAGGCATACAACTTGATTACCCCCTTGCCTAGCTAGCCTGGCTGAAAATATTAAGTCACAATTTTTTTTTTTTAGAAGGACTTAGTTGTAGTGTTTGTCTTGATGCCTCTCTGCTGCTGGGAATTCCATGGGGAAGGTCTGAATTTTTTGCAGAAGCCTTATTTATGCAAATAGTAGTGTAGCTTTAAGTAGTGTACATCTTTACTAGATAATTTTATTTCTGATGATTTTTATGGTATGGGATCCCTAGAAACAACATTTGTACAATAGACTACACAATGAGAATTTTGCACATCATCCAATGTTGAATGTCTTGGCTGCATCTGTTTGGCCAGGTTTTAATATACAAGGCTTTAAATATTTTTTAAGCAGAAAGCCCAGAGGTGCTTCTGGAGATACGAAAGAGCAGCTGCTTAAAGAACAGCTTCATTTAATTACTCATTGCACTTTCATTTTACTTTATTACTCTAGTTGCAGTATCCAGTGTATTGGGACCACCTTGAGTTCTGCGACGGATTCCGAAAACTACTAGACCACCTACAACTGGATAAAGTTAGTGCCCTGAGATTGACAAATAACGTGGTGTTACTATAAAAATGTTAGGTAAAAAAGCCTAGAGTTTATTAAGAACTAACATGCAGAAAATGTCCATGCTATGATGCAGGCTTATTAAAAACAAGAAATTCAAAATTGAAGCAAACACTATCCAAAAACTGTCCTGCTTTGATTTCATTAGTCACTGCTTTCAGGAATTGTTTAAAAAAAAAAATTGCATGTGGTTTTTTATTTATTTCAGTTTTGTAGTTAATTAATGACTTAGGTCTTCGGGGCAAAGACAGTCTTTTTATTCTGTTTGTACAGTACATGGCACAATGGGTGCTAGGATAATACAGATAAACAATACTAATAGTAAGTAATGGTAGTAAATGACATATCACAACATCTTCAATCTTGAATTAAAATAGCTATTGAAGAGAGGTTAAAATAATTGTTCATACTATATTGATTTTGGCATGATAAATATACTAAAGTCCTGATTTGAATTTTTGAGATGCCTACATTGCCCGTGTCTTTATTTTCAGTCTTTAAAGTATCTTTCTTTTTAAAATTACAACATCTGAGAGGTGTTTTAGTATTTTTTGGGGGGTTGAAAATAAATTTTGAACTTCAGTTATTTCTAAATAAACTTTCATCTTATGTCAGAATACAAGGAAAGGAATAACATTGTAATGTTATGTTTTTATAATATGTTATGCATGGATATTCAGGATAGATTTAAGTTGTTACATAACTTGTTTGGTTTTAAATTAGGTTCACCTTTTTGGCGCTTCTTTGGGAGGCTTTTTGGCTCAAAAATTTGCTGAGTATACACACAAATCCCCCAGAGTTCAGTCTCTGATCCTGTGTAATGCTTTTAGTGACACTTCCATTTTTAACCAGACCTGGACTGCGAACAGGTGAGAAATATTGATAAAATGTAATGTCAGTCTTTGAGCGTTATTACATTTTATAGTAAAATGTCAGTTTTAGACAAATGTAGTTTCAAAAACAGATTTCTTGCTGGTAATCTGAGCAAGCAATGGAAAAACAGGTGGCAAAATACTTTAAAAAGCCATGTTACAAGGAAGGTGCACACTTTCACAATCAGGATTTTGAAACCTGGAATTTTAACATTGGAGACAAGTTTTTGTTTTTTGTCTTAAACTTTTATGACTGATATAATCAGACTTGGGAAAGATTGAGTCAAGACTAGATCTTTGTTTTGCCTAGCAGATATATTAAGCTCAAATGAAACCAGTGTGGTGAAGAATACTTTTAAAATACTGACTATCCTGCGAGAGTGTAACTTTCAGTGTATTATATTCCTATACACACAGTTCTCTATCTGTTATTTTAAAAGCTTATGTAATGATTGCCCTAGTGAAGTCCTGCACAAACCACTTGATTTGAAATTAAACTCAAATGTTTTTTTGGGGGGAAGAGAGGAGAAACCAGAAGACACAACCTTTTAATTTTTGGAGGTCTTTAAACTTGAAGAGATTCATGTGATCTCATGTTTATATTTCAGCTTTTGGCTAATGCCTGCATTTATGCTGAAGAAAATTGTTCTTGGAAACTTTGCTTCTGGTCCTGTAGATCCTGTAATGGCAGATGGAATCGATTTCATGGTTGATAGGGTAAGTGAGTCTTGGATGTCTAATTCTGGTAACGTTGAGCATGTTTAACCTTGCTTCTAAAGATAGCATACTGTATATGCCATAGGTACGTTGCTGCCATCTTTACTTGCCTAATATAAAAGATAAACAATAAGTGGCAGACCCTGAGCTAGTGTTACTTTGCATAGCTCTATTGACTTCAGTGGAGCTATGACAGTTTACAGCAGCTAAGGATCTGCCTCGTTTGTCTCTGTTCCTTAAAGAACACTTGATATTTTCAGGTTTCAGAGTAGCATCCGTGTTAGTCTGTATCCGCAAAAAGAACAGGAGTACTTGTGGCACCTTAGAGACGAACACATCCGATGAGATGCTCTGTAGCCCACGAGAGCTTATGCTCAAATAAATGTGTTTGTCTCTAAGGTGCCACAAGTACTCCTGTTCTTTTTGATATTTTCAAGATGCTGTGCAAACAGTGTTACTAGCCTAGCTAGCTGTGGTTAAGTTCAAGCTCCATTAAAGAGAAAAAGGCTAATGTATATGGAGTGTATTGACTCCCTGGCGTCCTCTAGAGAAGCAGTAACTGGGACACTGGAGGTCCTACAGGACGTCTGTCATTATGTAGTGGAGGATGCGATGAAGTCTGCCTCTCATGCCTGGAAGGGGATATTGTAGAGATATAAAACTGCAATTTAAGCCCTTCTTAGGGAAGTAGTGGTCAGGGCTCTTTAAAAAAAAAAAACAACCAGTAGCCACCATATTTCTTTGCAAGGGTGCGATGATGGCGGGGGAGGAGAGGTGGCCACCCACCCCCAGACCAGATGATGGAGGGGCAGCCAGAACAAATGAGTGGCATTGTGACCCCATGCACCAGGGGGCAAAGTCATTTGTTCAAATTTGGCCTGGCCACCCTCCTCCATGTCCCCCATCACGATGGACCAAATCTGAGTGAGTGTTGTGGCAACCTCGTGCATGGGGTTGCAGTGCCACTCAAATTTGGGGCAACTGGACACTAACCTAAATCCTGCTCCTTAGCAAAATTTGGGTTGTGCCCATTTCTTCAGCTATGTTACCATAAACCTCCCCAAGTGAAACTGAATTCATAGCCTTTATATCCATGTATTGACAGCTGGAAAGCCTGGGCCAGAGTGAGTTAGCATCGAGACTTACCCTCAACTGCCAGAACTCCTATGTGGAACCTCATAAAATTCGAGACATTCCTGTAACTATTATGGACGTAAGTTTTTTTTTTTTTTCTTTCTTCCTTTTAGCCTATTGCTTCACCTGGCTGGACTGAGTAGGATTTGGCTATTCCATGAGCAACTGTAATACTTGATCACCTTTGTAGAACAAAACGTGGAAGATCTAATTTCATGTTAGGTGTTGCTTTCTACTCATTATGCAACACTATGAATTAACTGTAAAATGTCACTGGGGTATCGTGCACAGTACAGTCTGAGCTCATGGCCCTATAAACTAGGGCAGCATGACTTCCATTTTCTGGATTATGATATGCCTATAAAATGTTAGGTGCTCTTAAAGATGCAATTGTTCTCTGTCCCTATTAACGTCAGTGTCACGTTGAGGTCAAACTGTAATAACTGAGGCAGATGTGAACAATATAGGAAATCACTCCTAAGCTTATTACTGGAGGGCAAAGCCTCGCACCTGTTAAATAAGCATAAAAAAATGTGTAATTTATTTTATACAGTAAGACTGTGGGCTTTATTCTTGGAGATGGATTTCACTGTTGGGCAAATCTCACTTCACAAAGAAGCTAGAAAGCAGTGAGGTGATTGTTAGAATAATTCTAGTATGCTATGGTAAATAGCTACAAAAAACGTGATTGGCTTCAGAGTTACTCTGTGATTGTTTTCAAGGTGTTTGACCAGAGTGCACTTTCAACTGAAGCGAAAGAAGAAATGTACAAACTGTACCCCAATGCCAGAAGAGCTCACCTTAAAACAGGAGGCAATTTCCCTTATCTCTGCAGAAGCGCTGAAGTCAATGTCTATATCCAAGTAAGCCTCTGAAATTCAAACCTTTCCTAGCAACGGGTTTAGAAATGTCCCAGCAGAGTCCCGTCTTTCTCATACCCTCATCTGCTGCTGTTCCCTAACCTTTGGGAGCTGCAGACACTGAACCCAATTGGTGCAGGAGGGTCGGGGCTACACAGCAGCCACGCTTGTTGGTCCTGGGTTTGAGGTTGGCTTTCATGTGCCTGATATCGCTGCACTCCCCTTGAGCTCTTGTGTTCCGTGTAGGTGGAGCAAATGTTGGTGTATGAACTAATGCTATGTTTTGACTGAACTATAATGGGGACTGGTTCCTGGATTTCACTGGCAGGGGAGGCGTGCTGCTTTCCTCTTACCTGGTACCTTACCCATCATTCTGTATTGCTGCTTCAGAGTTCCTTTTCATGTCCAACAGATACACTTACTGCAGTTCCATGGTACACGATATGCAGCCATTGATCCTTCTATGGTTAGTGCAGAAGAACTAGAAGTCCAGAAAATCAAGCTTCACAGCAGCAGTGAACAAGAGCAGCAGTAGCTTTCTCTCAATCAGTTAAAGCAGTGAACCAATCTGGTTGTCTTCCTGTATATAATCCGCTGTTTCCAATCTGCCTTTTTTTACGTTAGCCGGTTATCACTGTGCAACTCCAACAGGGTTGATATTATTCAGCGTAATGCAACCGAGAACGGTAATCTACAGCAGTGTAACAGGATACTTTGGTTTAAGTTTGTCTTTGAATGTAAGGAAGTACCTTTGAGAAGACTCCAGTTTTAAAGAATTGAGATACATTTTGCTACCAAAGTCTTCACCACTACGTTCTTAAAACAGAACCCCATTTCTTTTTTATATTTTTATTTAGCTGTATATATTGCACATGCAGGTTGTGTACTTAAAAGCTCATTTATAATTTTGTTGAATATTTGGATTAAAAAAATGCTGAAGTGCCAATGTGGACATCACTTATTTGCTTCATAAGTTGTGTTGCAAATTAGTTACTTTATTTCTACCTGAAATATGAAGCATTACAGTTTTTAACTTGCTAGCTGTAACAATGGTTTTCAATAAAACTTCAATTTCAACAAGTGGCTTTTTTCTAATTGACTACATAGAATTACTGTAGCTTAACGTGATCTTTCAGCGCTGCATGTGGATGTAAATAGCATCAAAGTGCAGTGCTACCATCAGAAAAGGTGTGTTGAAGGATGTTAAATTCTGCTTAGATTTGTTTTAAGGGTGTTTGTTGAACAGTAAAACCGCTTGAATCATAGTGAATTCCAATTTAATTGGGTTGGATAAGAGTGTTTTCAGCATGTGGATGTGAATTTTAAAAAGCATTTTATAAAACAGATTGAACTAAGAAAGAAATCACCCATCACCTTACAGGAAAAATATTCTAGTTTATTGGAGAACAGATTTGATTTCCCCCTTAAACACTGTAAAAAATACAAAACTTCACATGACAAATTTCTGAGTGTTTAAGAAAAGTGTGCTCTTTGTGAGGGTTGGTATAAATAACAGGTGATTACCTCTTCCGTACTGAAATCGAGTAAACCGCGTACTGGCACTCAAGGCTAGGCTACCTGTGTGGCGATAACATGTTAGCCTGTATGCTGACATTTTCCCCTTTAGGGAATATACAGATGTTTATGCGCCAAGGAGGGGAACTGACCCTTCAAATCCCTCTTGCTTTTGAGTTGTGCACTTTTAGAGCACAAAAAGGTAGAGGTGGTTCATCTATATAAGGTAAAATGAATTGGAAAAGTATTGATGCTAACAAAACTGTATTGTGTATTTGTGTGAAGATGGCTCAAATCTATAGTATGACTTGGAAAGCGCAAATAACAACCATTCAATTGCACAGGACTATGGAATTTGTAGCCTTTCAAATGCCAGCTAATGGGAAACTGTCGAGGCTTTGGGATCCAAAATATGATCCCTTCTTTAATACAGTCCAGGTAACACCCCTCTCCCGCCCCCCCCCCCCCCCAACAAATGTAACGACACCAGCAGCTAAACAATTGAGCATTCCTCCCACAGTAAACCACAGGTGCCATGGACAAAAACTGAAGATGTTTGGGTAAAGAACACATCTGACTACATGTTAAATAGAAAGGTTCTCCCCTTTGTAACTTATAAGACAATTAAAAAAAATTATACATACAAAAAACGAGATGTAAACAAATTACAGTAAGAAAATATCAGAGTCCTGATTGAAACGTAGTCACAGTAGCACAAATGAGACTTTTCACTTAGCTTGTATTATACTCACCAGCATCTCTGCAACAGCAAATAAACCCCACACTTGGATAAAGATGTTTTACAATTAGCATGTGCTGATGTGTCTCGTAGTTTACCTGATCTCAAGTGGAAGCAGCAGAAGTGCCACTTGTCATGACAAGAAGCCCTTAAGTTTTATGGCCACTTTTTGGTGAATAGTTCAATGCTTCAGGTTCAATCGCTGTAGTTCTAGGAAAAAGTCAGCGGAGGCAGCATCGTACAGTCATTTCCCCTTCAGTTGTTACATTGCTGTACACTTCCTTGCAGAAGTGGATTCTTCATTTGCCTTTTTCCTAATGCTTTCTGTAAAACAAACATCATAGGTGTTTTTCCTCTCACCCATTAGGGGAAGCGGAATGAAAAATATCACTTGAACCTTTGTGCTGAGTGGCAGCTTGACATCAGCGCTGATTTTTTTTTTTTTTTTTTTTACTCTGAGGGGTGTCTACTCAATCTGGTTTTTTAATCCTAGTTACTTAACAAAGGAGGCTCTACATGCCTGGGTGTGGGTATTTTTGCTCTAGTAAAAGATTCTGATGAATGGGAGGTACAAAGTGGCAGGAGAAATGGCCCAGCAGTATATGGAAATATGTGTACTCCATAAAACAAGGGGGAAAAGACAACCACCTAGGTACTAGAGGAGTTGGAGGCTAATAGTTTAAGACTCTGTATTTAGAAAAAGGACTGGCTATACTTACATTATGCAACAGCTACAGAAATTAAATAAAGTATTAAAAGGTTAATTCAAATGGTGCTAAGTTTGTATTAAGAGGAAAGTGATGGATTGTTACCTGCTAAGTCTCTTCTACAAATCCCCACCAGGCCTTCGTATAGTCCTTTGATTGGATTTTCTCCTGCCATGATCACACCATGAAGCCAAATAAGCAACATTCTGTGGCCATGCTCCCTGTAGCTTTTAGTACCTGGTAAGAATGATACACGGATGAAACTCTATTTCAATCTGTATGGTGTCCGTAGACTGCATCAAATTCTGACTTGATACACGTGGAACTCCCTTCAACTGTGGTGGGAATTGAGCAAATGGATGTGAGGGTAAATTTGGCCCTATTTGCTGCCCAGCCACACTGCTTCAATTTAAAAAAAAAAAAAAATACTGATATTGAAATTAAACCTGCTCTTTAAACAGCAACTCCAACTTCTTAAACCGTTTGGACTCACAGCTGCCTGCACTCACACCAGGTAGGATATCTCCATATATTACATCTCCTAGAACTGGAAGGGACCCTGAAAGGTCATTGAGTCCAGCCCCCTGCCTTCACTAGCAGGACCAAGTACTGATTTTGCCCCAGATCCCCAAGTGGCCCCCTCAAGGATTGAACTCACAACCCTGGGATTAGCAGGCCAATGCTCAAACCACTGAGCTATCCCTCCCCCAGGTAGCACACTGGTTCTGCTTTTGGCAGGGACAGAATGGGTTGGTGCTACAGTAGCTTTGATTCACTTTGCATTTTGTAGGTGTAAGTATTTCATGTTCTGCTGTTTTGCTGAATAACTTTCTCAGGTCCTTAAAAACAGAGCCCCATCTCCCCCTTTCTGCACTGTTCTATGTCTGGCTCTACAGGAGGACAAACATCTTCCTAACTGCTTCCCTGACGGTATTCCCTGCCCTCTTGAAAGGACAGAGCTCAAAAGCTGCACAGGTATTTAGAAGGTTTCTAAGAGAGAACACAAAGTTGCAGGAAAGATAATGGTCTCTACTCCAATCTATTGGTCTAATGAGCTATCTAGGCACACTAAGGGTTATTAAGGGTAACTAAGGGTTATTAAGCCCTCCAAATGCTCTTACTGGTGGGACAAATTTATGTCTATTTTGATGGGACATGCTTACATCTCGTCTGAAAATATCTCAGCAATGACATTCCCGTAACCTTCATAGTGTGAATTTCAAAGCACCTCTGTCTTAATCCACAACTGCAGCTCCCTGACAAAACAGGAGTCGGGAACAAGGCATAGACATCAGGGGAAAGTGAATGAAATCATGGTTAGCTGAAAGGATTGGGTCAAAATAGGTTGACTTCAACAAGAAATCTGGCCTCTTAAAAGTCTTGGTACCACATCCAAAGTAATATCAAAGATTTAATGGAATAGGCTGCCCCCAAAAAAGGGGGAGTGGGGGGGCTTCATGTAACTTAGTTATGGCAACCCAGGTCCTTGAACTGGAAGTTTTCTGAAAGCCACCTGCAAGTAAATGACTGAATTTGGCAGAGGATGTTTCATGCAAACTTATGACTCTTTGGGCTCTTCCATGCTTCCACTTCGAGCCTTGATTTGCAAACAGGGATCTTTCCAAGCTCAGAATGCCGGCTGTCCTGACATACCCTTCTAACTGCCCCCATAGTGCTCTGTGTGCTGAGCCAAAAGGGGAAAGCACAGCCCGTTCTCCAGGAGGGCAGGTGTACGGTCCTGAGTTTCTCTTTAGTGGCTCTCCAAATGCTCTTCTCTAGATTTGCACCTAATTGCCAGAGGGACAAGCAAAGGGCAAACCGGCCCAGTGGGGCCAGGGTCTTTGGTGGAAGTTGGCTCCCCATAAGACCAGGGCACTGGTAATAAAATCTCACTGGTTAAAGTCCGTGGTCTCCCTGTGCAGAAGAATAAGAAACGTTCATCCGCTTGCCTGAAAATGCTCACTCAGTAGGAAGGTGTTCAGACCTGTCTCGCTTTGTCAGTTACAGCAATCAAGTTTCCCTTTAGGGACAAGACCTCCTAGGCTTGGGGTTTCTCTATAGCAGCCAGGGAGAGGCAGCAGACCCCTTGTTTAGGAGCTGTGGATTTTCCTACGAGCCAGTTTCAGGTGAGGACACATTTTTCCTATTTATTTTATAAAGCATTTCAAACGCAATCTTGTGGCTGCTCCATCTGAACCAGGTGGCTTCCTTAGCATGTGGCCCAGTGCCACTGCTGGAGAATTATCTACTAGCAATATATAGATTAAAGGAAAAGGATGGAAATGCTTGGCATAAATGAAACGTCATCTGATTTATACCTGCCCACTGCTGCTCAATGGCTCTGATATGTGCATCAGTGAATTTCCAGTAGTATGCAAGCTTCTTCCATTCGTTGGGTTTGAGGTATTTAGTAGCTAATCTCCACATCACTGAGCGAATGTGCTGCGTTTCCAGCCTGTGATCTTGTTTAAAGGTTAAGTGTTTTGCCACCCAGGAGTCGGAGTCACTGCTGAGATTGTCCTACGATGTTAAAATAGGAGTTTCAGTGCGAGGCTTCACATTTCTTTTAGGTTGAGAGAAAAAACACCCCCCCCCAAAAACATCACAACCCTGAACAATGAATCCCTGAACAATGAGCTATGTCCTCTGTTCGCATTCCCCGATTATAGGCTATCAGGTTCCACTTGCTGACGTTCTGATGACAACAGGAAACTAACACTGGATTGTTAGCAGCAGCAGTAGCATAATCCCTAGGAACGCCCATGGGCTCTTCCAGTAATAGACCTACCATGCTTTTGTTTGTAATGGCCGGTCTGTAATATCCCCCAGCCTTGCCACTGGGGCAGTTTAAGTTCATTCTGACATAGCACGTTTCTGTTTTACTAACTGTCCTTTTCATCCTGGCCCAATTAAATACATCTTGTTAATGGCATCCTGGCTACAGAAGCCCATGTAGGTAACAATTTGCATTTCTACAGAGCCTTCTGTCTGACGCTCTTGAATAACATGCTTCAGTAACATGAGAGAAAGCTCTCAACCACCTGCGATGTAGGCAAGTACTATGAGGAAATGGAGAGGGTAAATGACTGCCCAAGGCCACACAGGCAGCCTGTCTAAGGGCCTGGAATAGAATCCGATAGCCTGGCTCTAGGCCTTCACTGCAAGACCATCCTCCAAGAACTCCTGCTGGGATTTCCAAGAGTGCCTAAACAGGTTAGGTGCTTGGGATGGTGATCTGAGGAACCTATTTACAACTGAAGAACTCTGGCTGATAATACCGTGTTGCTACGAAAGCTGCGGTATCAGGAATGCCCCTCTGTCGGTGTGTATCTACCATGCTGATAAGCCTACCTCCCAGACCAGGGACAATGCTGGGCCATTAGAACTCAGCTATGGTCTACTCAGAGTGAAGCACCTTGAGCCAATGGGTTTGTTTGAGTTGGGAAAAGATACTTCCTCCTCGGGTCTGAAGGAAGCAGGGGAGTGGAGAGAGCTGAAATTCTCCAGCTTGGAGACAGGGCTGACAAAGCAGGCAGTTATAACTCATGGGGGGTGGAGGGGAGACTCACAGAGAGAGAGAGTCAGGAAGTTTTGGGCAGGTAGAAGGAAGGTGACGGACTGGCCAAGGGAGAAGTGAGGTGCGGGAGAAGGCTCTGTGTTTCTGAACCCAAGCCATACGCTGCAACAGGAAGACACTGGATGACCCCATCTCCCAGAAGACTTTGGAATGGTGGGGAAACTGAGGCAAGAAGGTGCTAAGTTTGCCGATTTGGGTTGGATGTAGTTTTGGAGGTTTCATCACATGACAATCTTTAATTGAAGATTCATCTTTAATTCCTGGAGACTCCAGGACACTCCTGGTAGGATTTATTTTTTTTAGAACTGTGTGTGCCTCGTGCTATTAAAGAAAGAGCAATAATGTGTTAGGATCCTGTGCAGAGTGTCTGTACGTTATCTGCTACACCTAGCACATGTCCCTGCGAGCAGTAAATTAGAGCCAGAATGCTCACGCAGCAGGAGTTTTGGGAGAAGGTGTTACGCTATGAGCATATCTTGGGGGTCAGCATTGGTTCCAGAGACTAAGCAGTTGGACTGTGAGGTCTTGGCTCTTAGGAGGGGCTGCTGAATAGATGATCCCGAGAGCGTGCCTAGGGACCCCAAGATAGAAACAGCGCCTGGGATCTATTCAGACTCCAGAGGCTTAAAACATTGGGGGGATTCACTGGTGGGATCCCCTCACAGCAGTCTGGTGAGTGGCCAAGAGGGGGCGCTTGACTGGAGTTGTGACAGTGTCTAACTCCCTTTGACTTTCAATGGGGGCTAGACGCATAACCTGCCTAAGTGCTTTATAAACTCCCACCGATCTTTAGGTAACTAAATATCTGTGAAAATCCGGCCTCCCTTCCTCCCAGTGCAGCCAGGATATTTAACAGCAGGGACTCCTATATTAATAAGCGAAGTCTGTGGTACAGTTGTGGGCTGCTTTGTTGTTGGTTTTTTAAGTGGACGATGAAAACACAGCGCTCTTTGCCGTGGGATCAGCTGCATTTCTCTTCCCCTCATACCGGTAAGCACAGAGAACTGTCTCGTATAAAGGATGTTTTTAAGGATACTCGGCTCAGTGTATGTTGCCTACCTTCTCCCATTTGTAAAACCGATCCGCTTTGATAATCATGTCCGCCAAGTTGATATGGTTCCCCCGGGCAGCTACATCCAGGGATGTTTTTCCTTGCTGAAATTAAGAAGGAAAAAAAAATGGTGTCCAAAATGTATATTCGCCATTTCTCTATTTTCGAGACTAATCTGACCCCTCCCCCCGTCATCATAGTCTTTGAGCACCTCCCAGTCTTTAATGTACTTTTGTGGTAGGGATTATGCTATTATCCCCAGTTTACAGTTGGGAAACTGAGGCCCAGAAAGACGAAAGTGATGTCTAAGAGGATACAGAAGAAGTCTGGGGTGGAGCTGGGACTTGAACCCAGGTCCTAGGCCAGCACCTTAACCATTGGACCATCCTTCCATTTCATCCATCTGCAGTGATTGGATCTTCCATCATACGTGGGAGCTGAAACACCCCAATTACTACTGGTGATAGACAAATGTGATCCGCCATTACTTTATTCCCAGCTCTTTAAGAGATTAAAGCATAATTATTTTTACCTGTTGTTACAGGAGCAGGGTTTACAGAAGCCACATTAAGGGGATCAGCAATCATTGATAGAGGCAAGGTGGATTTGGGTGCATTGCAAGCCTAGTGCCTGCAGGGGGTGCTAGAGGGAGTCTCAAAATGGCACATGCTGCACCACTAAGCACTAAATGCATGGGGCAGGTTCTAGCCACTCTCCCAACCCAGCCGGTCATCTGTCCCTTTAGATGCTGAATGCCACTCACTGCTCGCCGTCTCTTCTGCTCTGGGAGCTGTGGTAGCTTTGCTAATTGCCTTGTGCCCCGCCCAGAACCAGGTTCCCTATGCCTCTCTACGACAGCAACAATGCCCTCTCTGCGTGCCCTCTCCCCACTGCATCAGGCAGGAGCAACCACAACTTGGCCCTAAATGTCTCTGATCTCACCACTTAGAGAACAGGGGCTTCAAAGCACTTTACAGACATTCATGGGGTACTGAACGCTTGCACCCGTGTCTCCGAGGGCTCAACTCAGTACTACATGTTAAGTCTGAGACGAACTACGGCCCTTTGTCCAACAGATTCACCGAGGTGTATGGATCTGAACTGATCCGTGTAATCCCACAAATTTCTGCAGTACGTGTATGAACAGAAACCATCTCCTAGAAAACGACACAGGTCAGTTTGACTATTAATGTATGAGCAGTGTATTGTATGAACTGCGCATAGATAGAGAGGAATGGGACTGGAATACATATCATCTGTCTATCTTATCTATGTATCTATCAGTTATCAGAAATAAATGCAGCATACCAGGAGAGGAATTCTGTGCTGGGATTGGCTTTTTGGTAATGAAGAGTTCTCACTTTGTACTGGGGATAAAATGTCCTCAATTTAGCAAGCACGTTTTCTCTGTGCAGTGTCTTCCTCTTGTTCAGTGGTTCTCACCCAGGAGTACGTGTACCCCTGGGGGGACGCAGAGGTCATCCAGGGGGTACATCAACTCATCTAGATATTTACCTAGTTTTACAACAGGCTACATAAAAAGCACTAGCGAAGTCAGTACAAATTCAAATTTCATACAGACAAGGACTTGTTTACACTGCTCTGTCTACAATACGCTGAAATGCAAGTACATTATTTATATTCCAATTGATTTATTTTATAATGATATGGTAAAAATGAGAACGTCAGCGATGTTTCAGTAATAGTGAGCGGTGACACTTTTGTATTTTTATGTCTGATTTTGGAAGCCAGTAGTTTTTAAGTTTGGGGGGACACAAGACAAATCAGACTCCTGAAAGGGGGACAGTCGTCTGGAAAGGTTGAGAGCCGCTGCTCTCCTTCTAAGAGCTGCCCGATGGTGGCAACAACAAACATTTATTTTGGTTCAGTACCTAAGGCTAAGTTATTGGATTTAGTTTTCGTTTATAAAACGTGCAGCGGTTTAACTTCATAGCAAATTGTAGCTCTGATACTAACCTGTGGCTGAATGCTCTTGAGTTTTTCCCCCACATATGCAAATATGCCCAGCTACACTCTCAGAACAAAGAACAGAATTTGCCAGGTGCTCTTAAAATTCTTTTAGTTAATTGGAGTTCTGGGGTTTCTTTTTTCTCCCCAGCAAGCAGAGCACTGAATGCTGGGTATTTCAGATCCACACACACTGGATCTTTTATTTTTTTACCCATTAAAATGTTTCTTTGCACTATAATCGCTATAATTTGTTATTTATGATCGCTACAGAATAACACTGTTTGGTTATATTCACATATAAGTGAAAATATATGGCAGTAGCATAGGGTCACCAGATAGCAACTGTGAAAAAACGGGACAGGGGGTGGGGGGGTATATATAGGCGCCTATATAAGAAAAAGTACAAAAAAATGGGACTGTCCCTTTCAAAACGAGACATCTGGTCACCCTACAGTAGCAGGAGTCGGGTCTGAGAACTTTGCATAGCAAAGAGTGAACTACCCTGTACTTTTCTAAGAATCATTCACATCCCCTTCAAAATTGAACACTTCCCGCCCCCCCAATAAAAAAGCATTATTTTAACTGTTTAGTCCTTGAAAATGTTTGTATGTTAATAACACTGTCAGTTTTACTCATGGGCTGAGATCAAACAAAACATGTCTTTCCTCCAAATCCCCACGCATCTATCCCATCCCTAAGGATGTTTACCTTATCAATTAACTTCAAGTTAACTCCTGCTATGAGAATCATCTCAGCTATGTCTTGTCTCCCGTGTTCTGCAGCGATATGGAGTGGTGTCTGCTGCCTCTGTGTAAAAAGAAAGCAGAAGCAAGTTGAAATACCTGGGAGGAAATGCTGGCCAGGAATGATTGGAAGAAATATGGCCATTTATAACAATACATGACAGAACAAGAAGCAATGGTCTCAAATTGCAGTGGGGATGGTCTAGGTTGGATATTAGGAAACACTATTTCACTAGGAGGGTGGTGAAGCACTGGAATGGGTTACCTAGGGAGGTGGTGGAATCTCCATCCTTAGAGGTTTTAAGGCCCAGCTTGACAAAGCCCTGGCTGGGATGATTTAGTTGGGGTTGGTCCTGCTTTGAGCAGGGGGTTGGACTAGATGACCTCCTGAGGTCTCTTCCAACCCTGATATTCTATGATTCTACTGCGAGACAATGGTAAGTGTGTACAGAGGAGCACGTTCTGTTCTCCCTCATGCCCATTCAATGTCAATGTAACTCTCCCATCAACTGGAATGGGCCCACAGTGAACTGCTAGAGCCATTCAGAAATAACAATGGCCTGGTCTGGTACCAGCACTAGGAAGTCCTCGACAGTACATATTTCAGCCTAAAGATGGATGAACTTGTTGTATTATACAAAGTACCTTTGGGACTATGGGAAGGAAATTTTTTAAACCCTGTGAATCAAGCAGAGATGCCCAGGAAATGGAGAATCTGCTCTAAGTGCCGTCCATAGGCAATGACCACAGCAGCAACAAAACACCTTGGCCAACTGGAGCCAGCGCCAATAGTCATTACATTCTATGGCACGTAAGGACACACGTCAATATGGATACCACTGTTGTGATTTTTTTCTTTCATACTCAAGGACTTCTGGAAAATCCCAGGAAATTTAAAAGAAACCAAACAAAATAATGTGGCAATTTGACGCAGGCATGAAGCAAGCAAGCATGCATTGAGATAACTGCAAGAGTAGAATGAACAATAACTAAAATCAAATGCTAGGTTATACAGATCTTTTTGTGTTACAGACTCGTCATTAGTGAGACCACAATTTTGACTGAGAGCCAACCAAATCCATCCTTACCCCCCATTTTCAGTCATTCTTAACTGTCTCAAAATATCCTTCTGTGCTGAAATTCTCTCTCTTTGTGTACAGCTCAGAGGTGAGGGGCTGACTCGGTAAACTTTGTATAGCAGTCACCCAAAGAACTCAACAGGAATTCCACGCACAGAGAGCACTTGCGGGGTCGGGCCCTGCGTTTGCTTGGAAAATGTGAACAATTCAGCCATTTTCATGTTTCAGGAGCTGAACGTCCACGTTTTAAAAGCGTTGTTCTTTCCCCCACCCCTGCTCCGAACTGGCTGATTTAAAACCTCGGTTAATGTGGTTCACGGCTCAGAGATGGAAGGGTTCCCAGCCTTACGTTATCCGGGATGTCCAGGTTGCACTCTGTGTCGATGAGGAATTTAACGATGGCTGGGAAGTTCTGCAGCACTGCAATGTGCACAGCTGATGCATTTTGCTGCGGGAAGAAGGTGCATTACTTGCATATGAGGGGGAAAAGGCATTGGGGTGTCTAGCTCACACACAATGTAAGGATCCAAGGATGCAGGTCTACATCCTGGGGCTGTGGGGGCCATGGCTTGCTGACACTCATTTGTCAGCACTAAGGGAGATGGGCTAAGCACCATCTTGTTAAACCTGGAAAGTCAATCAGAGCCCCCAAGGCCTGCAGCTGCCCGTTTGGCTCAGACCTGCTACCTATGCCAGGAAGTGAGCCATGTGGGCTGTCTGAGCAGCTGTGCAGACGTTGGCCCCTACTCTTGCCTGCCTCCTGCAATCCTGATCCAGCCCTGTTCCTGACCTGCTCCTCACTCCTAGCTCCCGCCTTGCTCCTGCTCCGTGTCTGATCCTTGTCACTCTCCAATTCCTGCCCTTTCACCTTGCTCCTGACCATTGGCTACCAATCCTGGTTCTGCCCCCTTGCTCTGACTTCTGGCTCAACCCTTGGCTCTGGCAGTTGGTATCTGACCCCAGCTCCGATCCTTACCTTTGATTACTGGTCCTGATTCTGGCTCAACCCCCTAGCTCTGGGACTTGGCAGTTGACTCTGGCTCTTACCCCCACTTCCATTTTCTGACCTGGATGCCTGCTCTGCCCACTAGGCCAGACAGCCCACGTCCCAATTCCTAACAGCAAGGGCACCTTGGCCAGAACACAATGGCTACTTCTGAAACTTAACTTCCATTCACGCAGCCTTTGGCTTAAACGTATAAACCGCAGCCAGGATTGTTCCAGGTTCAACAAGGGAATGATGTACGGCGAGGCTTAGCCTTCTTCCTGCTGAAGTCCCTGGGAACAAGCTTGCAGCTACTGTTGTCATATGAAACACAACCAGCAACTGAACTCTGCTTTCTTGGAACCCAGCTCTCCTGACAATGGCTGGCGATAGTCTAGGCACAGGTGCACACAGACTGAGGGAGCAGTTTTCTACCCAATTCTAGCTCCCCCACATGAAGGGACCCTCCATATGGTAGCACTCCATAATTGAGCTGCCAAGGGGCATTCTCAGGCAGGGCCCAGGATCAGAGGACATGTTCTCCCCCACACAAATCTTGCCTTGGCTGAATGGAGTGCTGTGATTAGCCACAATACGGGCTCGCAGCAATACTTACTTTTGCAGTGTTGAATTGAGCCCTGTATTTTTTTGCCAAGCCGAAAGAAAGCTGGAATTTGGCGCTATCTGTTCATCAATGATTCAAGCCATTTAATATGACTTACATGATTAACTGCATCTATGTAGATTCCTGCATCAATAAGGACCCTGGCCATGTCTTCATAGCCATGGAGAGCTGCATAATGAAGGCAGGTCATCGCTTTCTGAGAAAGACAGCAACACGGCCGATATTAGTCGGGACCTTTTATCAAGCCAAAGGACGTATTTCCAGCGGGGTCTCTGCTCATTCTGCTTCCCAGTGATCCCAGTTGTTTAAGAGGCCACCCCAAGAGTTCTCCCTGCATTCCTTCCTCTGGGGAGAAGGGGGGAAATCAGTGCACACAGTTAAGGACACGACAATACTAGGATGATAGATTTCAACTGGCTAGCTCCACAACCAAAGCCATAACCACTTTCACATGGGAATGCAACTATTTGGTTGAATGGCCTCGATTGCTCATGCCCTGCAGTGAAATCAGGAGTTTGGGAGGTACAAGGCATGCAGGACTGACCCGTTCACAGGGAATCTTCTCTAAGATACAAAATTCAGATGAGTTTCGCCATCTCCCAATTGCCCCCTTATCCTTCAGAAAACCCTAATGATCTTTCGCTGGGTGTTGTTTTTCCCCTGTAATAGTCTCATATCTCTCTGTCCTGATGGGCTGTCCTCTTCTCTCAGACAGTACATGTTTTCAGAGGGAAGATGATACCTGTTCAATCAGCCTGATGCTACAGCACTATTGGGGTATGTCTTCAGATCGATCTATTGGGGATCGATTTATCGCGTCTAGTGTAGATGCGATAAATCGATCCCCGATCGCTCTGCTGTGGACTGCAGAACTCCACCGCGGTGAAAGGCGGAAGCGGAGTCGACGGGGGAGTGGCGGCCGTCGATCCCGCGCCGTGAGGACGGGAGGTAAGTCGAACTAAGATACGTCGACTTCAGGTATGCTATTCTTGTAGCTGAAGTTGCGTATCTTAGGTCGATCCCACACCCCAGTGTAGACCAGGCCTTAGATTCCATCCCCATGAAGGGAACTTCAGTTTAATTGGTGGTGAACACTTCTCCCACCCTGGGCCAGACTTTACATGACAAAAAGATGGCTTGCTTGCTCCCTTTGGCCTGGCACTGAAGAAGTGCCTCATCTGTTGGCTGGTTCCCAGCTGCACTGTCCCTTGAGAAGGCAGATTACCACACACTGCCCCAAATTTGACCCGGCGATGTCGATTTCAGCGCTAATCCCCTCATCAGGGAGGAGTACAGAAATTGATTTTAAGAGTCCTTCAAGTCGATAAAAATGGCTTCGTCGTTTGGCGGGTGCATGGTTAAATCGATCTAACGCTGCTAATTCGACCTGAACTCGTAGTGTAGACCAGGGCTAAGAGAATTCCTGTGGAGGTAGGGCGTCCACTGTAGCGAACAAGTCAGTCTGTGTTTGGTGACAGAATAACAGGCAGCCAATGACCCACCAAAGCTGGGACTGAAAGTGAGACCTTACTACAAATTCCAGAGTACGTGTAGACAAAATACCATAATGGCAACGGCCTGCGCCGGGACCTTCTGGGCAAAGCGGCTCACATTCAAGTGTTTGAGGCCTAGCCTTTGGGCAAATGGCTTTTCCACTCTGCACTGATACTTTATTAACCGAAGTCGCATTCCAGAAGGTGAATGGAGATGAGCCCTGCGTGTGCACTGCGGCTGTGCCAGCCACACAGTTGCTACAAGTAGCACAAACGTGAAGTGCTCAGAGACAGAATAATCTTCAGACCGTTCCTGCTTACCTGGGTTTGGGCATTAACGTCACAACCAGCTTCCAAGAGGAGTTTCACGCAGTTGTAGTGGCCTCCCTCCGCAGCCAAGTGCAGAGCAGTCAGACCTTCCTGGAAACACAGCAGAACAAGCTTGACATGGGCATGCTAGTTTAGGCTATGAGAGCCTTTAATAAAGCAAGTGTCACTCTCTGTTTCATAGGGAAGGACAAGCCACAGCTGTGCAGTAGGAGAGTCCATTCATTAACTTGGTCTTCTTTGGCAGCTCGTCTTCCGAATCACTGATATGTTAAAATCATGGTTCTAAGGACCAGGGATTCATTCTCACTCCAGACTACAGTTAGGAAAAGGAAGGAAATTAACACACACACGCTAACAATAGAGCGAAGGCCTCACTCCGTACAGACTGCAGTGGGAGTTTTGCGTGCAGCTTGGCACTCTGAATGTTCTGATCCGTCGTATCTAATACACTGTTCTTTAACCCATCTGCCCCAGGGTCTGCAAGCAAAGTGATTTTACCCACACATACTAGCTAGTGCAATTCTACCGAGGCACAAAAGAGTGAGTTTGAAAAGGACTCCATGCCTAACCCTGTAATTTACTAGCTTTGATTAATTAAGGTCACAATCTTAATGTGATTTAAAGATATTTTTGTGCATCAACAAGAACACACTATAATAAAATAATTAAAACATATACTCCCAGGGAGTATCAAATCCCAGGGAGTATCAAATGTCACTTTACCAGAATCTTATTTACTTTGCAAAGAGAGTGTTAAATAGGACATAAGAGGAACCCTGATAAACTTAACTAGTAGTGTGCCCTGCAATTGCTAAGGACTTTACTGAGCCAGTATTTGCTATCCAGGGTTTTAACTATGTTTAGGTCTTCTGATTTTAGGTTTTAACCGACAAAATGCCCCCAATACTGATTTCTTTTTTGTTTTTGTTTATCCAATAAAGAGCAGAAATGCTTCCTTGTATAGGGTTACCATATTTAAGGTTTTAAAAAAGAGGAAACTCCACGGGGCCCTCGCCCCGCCCCTTCCCCGCCCCATCCCCAAAGTCCCCGTCCCAACTCCGCCCCCTCCCCTGAGCGCCCCGCATTCCCCCTCCTCCCTCCCAGCCACGCGAAACAGCTGCCCGAGCGCTACCAGCTTCACGGTTTGCCGGGCAACCCCCTGACCTCCAGACCCGCTGCGCCCCCAGCCGGGCGCTTCCCCTCCCGGGCTCCGGCTGCGCTGGGGAAATGCCCGGCCAGGGGCGCAGCGGGTCTGGGGGCTGCCCGGCAAACCGTGAAGCCGGTAGCGCTCGGGCAGCTCGGCTCTTCAGCTACACAGAGCTGAGGTGTCTGGGGGGAGCAGCAGCAGCCGCCGCCGCAGCGGGGAATCCACCTGCAGCTCGCAGCCTGCCGGAGCCGCTCAGGTAAGCAGGGGGCTGGAGCAGGGATGACGGCCTTTTC